TGATTTCTTACTTAAACTAGTGAATTTCCTTAATTCCTTCACTAACACCCCTCAAGATTTATAATTAAGCCCCAATACATTTAGTTTTCATGCAATTAAGCCCCTCTACATAAAATTAATAAATTTACAACTAATTTAGCAAAAGCTAAGGTTATTACACCGACCAAAACCAGACCTTAAAGAAAAGGACTGGGTTGAACCATCAATTTTTAATCTAATCCAGTTTTGAATCATAAGGTTTCACGATTCAGTTAAAGTTCATGTTTTCTTGAACTTAAACTAGAACTAGAATTGGAACTGTCCAAGAATCGGTAAATCAAAACTGGATAAAATCATGTTAATTGAACTAGATTTGACCAAATTTGAACCATGAATGAATCGTTAAGAATGAACAATGAAAACCGTGAATGAATCATGAATCAGAACTGTGAGTGAACCATAAGAAGTAAATCGTGAAAAATTATTTTTCTTTTTTTTAGATATAGAAAAATATTTTTACTTACGTTTTGGATATAATTTACACAAGATATTTTTTAAATATAAAAGAAAAACTTATTTTTAAATATAAATTTATTTTAGACTCATTAATTAATAAAAATTATATAATTTACATTTGGAGGTCTTCAATTCAAAATGTGTTATAATATTTTTTTATTATATAAATAAAAAAGAACATTACAAAATTATTTTTTTTTATTTTTGAAATATTTCATTAATTAAGATAAAAGAATTACGTGAATTTTAATTTTTATAAATCCTAATAGGATATGCAGGCAGCTTAATTGATACACAATTAAATTTAAATCATTTATTATTATTATTTTTCTGTGTTTAGAATATGAAAGATAATTATGAGATTAAATATTTATAATATTTGAAAATATTTAATAATCTAAAAATATTTATAAGTTAATATCTAAATTTTTTGATAAAATCAAATCGGAATTGAATTGTACTGTAGATGAATTGACAACGAACCACAAACTAACTAAAATTAGAATCGTGAATCGGCCTAGATTAGAACCATGGATTGATCCAAAACTAGAACTAGATCGACTCACAAGGTTTTGATCATAATTCATATTTTTTCAAGATTGGAACCAATGGTCCAGTTCCCATTTAGGCTGGTTCATGAATCATGAACAGGCCTATTCTATGGGCATGTTTGGAACAACAAATTGGATACAAGTGGATAAGATAGGATTTGGCTAATGGTACCTTATCAACACAATATTTCCAAATTTTCTCACTTGTTTAAAAGAATTTAATTAAATGAATAGGAAATAGCAAGATAATATAGACTTTTATCAAAATGCCCTTACAAGCATTGTTATTGTCCTAGTCGATTGCACAAAGGAATCACCTTTGTTTTCAATCTTTGTCTTTGTTGCTCGCTAGTTGCTTTGCTCTCACTCCATTCTAAAACCAGATGTGTTCATCTTGATTGATTGCATGGATTCTCTTTCTCGTTGATTGTGTAGACTCTCTTTCTCTTGCTCTGCTCTATAATAAATCTATTCATCCTTTGTCTTTGATCTTCGTTGGTCCCTCTTCTTCGTCTATGGGCAATGGTAACTAGCAGAATGCTAAATATAACTAGATTTGTTCACCAATCGGAGAAGCTTAGAGCAATGATAGTGGTTGGTCAATTGCATGGACTCGCTTTCTCTTATGTTGCTCTAAATTAGATTTGTACACCCTCTGTCTTCAATCTTCTTTGATATCTCTTCTTTATATAGGGACTACAACAATTGGCAAAATCTAGAATTTAACCATGTTCACTAAGCAAAATCTGGTAGAGCTAGGGGCAATGGTAGTGGTTAGGAGGAATGCCAAATTTTTGGTTGTTCAACTGAGTTCTCTTGTGTTTTGGCCAAACAACTGTAGTTGTGGTTGTGATTACTGCTTAGCACTTTTTTTTTAAATGTGAATAGCATGAGCATTTTAGTCAAATATGGAAATTTTGAAAGTTAGATAAAATCAGATAAATTTATCTCATCTTTTAAGAAACTGTATCTAGATCCCATGGGATAAGTATCCTTCTCAATCTTCTAATACGATTTGTTTATCATTCATACTAAGTACGAGATAAGATAGAATAATTTTATTTTATTTTACTTTATCTTGTCTATTGCATCTGACATATTAAAGAAGAAACTCTCTAATTTTTTTAAACTTTATTTTTTTTTGAAATTTTCCTTCCAATTTTTTTAACTTTCTTTCTCTAATTTTTTTTTAAAATATTTTTTGAAGTTTTCTCCCCGACTATGACTAATTTTTTTATCTTTTTAGAGAATGAAGAGATAGTTATATATATAAATATATATCAACTTTGTAGATACCTTTTAACCGATAAAATTGAATTAAACTCTACACATACCTATCTTATTTTAACCCACAAAATTAATTATTAAATAAGTTAAATTTATTTCATATTTAAGCAAGTTTTTGACGAAGTTAAAATCAGCAAATTTTGAGGGATAAATAATTTAAATTTAAAGTTACCATCTCTAACTAAGACTAAATTACTTGTGAAGCGATACTCGGGCGCTAGCACAAGAAGAAGTGGCCTACGGAGTTCATTGTATGAGGGTTGGTCGTTGGTCGTGATACTTATTAGTTAAATTTAAGTTAATTTATTTTTCTGATAATTGAATAATCACACGTATATTTTACTTGCATTTCTCTGCTTCACTTATTTAAATCTTCGCCCCACCCAAACAATTGCAACATCGGCAAACTTTGAGCTGAATCAACTAATTTTGATAAAAAGAAAATAGATTTACAATTTTTATTATGAAAGAAAATATCTCAATTTTTTTTAAGTTTAATATTTATTTAAAAAAATTGTTTTTGTTTTATTACTCAAAAATATATATGGAAATGTAAGAATAAAAAAAATATTTTTAGTACTATTTCTTTCTCTTTCTTTATGAATGAATGTTTAAAAAAATTAGTAAATAAATTTCAAAAGAATCTAAAAATTCTGTTAAAATCAAATTCTCAAAAAAAAAAAATTAAAAATTTTTTTTCTTGGATATTCATTTTCTTGTCATTCTAGACCAAATTCATCTTAACAAAAATGCCTTGGTTCAAGTCTCCTAACTTATTGTTAGTGTTAAACTAAGTATGAGCTTAATTTTTTCTCACAAGCCAACTTTAGCATTAGATTTCAATTAAGTGGATAATCTCTCATATTCTTATTATTAACTTATTTATAATGTAACTGATATTTTATAATCGATTATTATTTTTCGTATCAAACCAAAATTTCAATTTAAAAAAAAAAACTATTTTTTTGTCATTCTATTAAACTTATAATGAAAAAGTTATTTTTTTTTACTAGACAATAAACAATTCAGAATGTAGAAAAACCCATAAGCTAGATATTCCTAAATTGCACAGGCTGCAGACTGTAAATAAACAGGGCAAGACGAAGTCACCCATTTAACCAGAAAGTAGTTTGCATTGAATCCGCTCACGTTGGGTAAAATTTTTGTAGTAATGTATATTTGACTAATAAGCGTTATGTACCCCTACCAACCAGTCTTCAAGAATAGTATTCAAATCTTTGCCTCATACCCACGACAACTTCCACTGTTGCTCCAAGCTTTACTCTGTTCAAAGGAATAAAATCCTGTCTAGGGTTTTATGTTTTCCTAGTGTTCGTGTATAATGTGTGTATATAAAATATAAATGCGATGACAACCAGGTATTTGTATATATGAAATGTACGTATCATCACTCCGACTTGCCTTGGTCACCACTCATCCCTCCCAATAATAATGATGGAACCAGTCCCAGTTGAAGAGAATACCATTTCCGAGTCGAGAATGCTTGGATTGACGAGGTATCTTTTCATCCTCCACTCTCTACGTTGTGTGGATATATCTATTTCTATATGCAGTCACTGGTTGTTAATCCGTTAAAATATTTATAATTCACTCCAGTTTTCTATTTATTGAGCAGACCCAGTACTCGATTGACATCTGTGGTTCAATCAGGATTACAGATTTATCAGATTTATTTTCCATTATTTTTTCCCCTTGAAATTAATTGTTGAATTGGAGCTTTTTTTGTTTTTGCAGTGCATTGATAGGATAAAGAAGGTCCGGTGAATGGAAAGGTTAGTTTGGTTGAAGATGTAAATTCCCCGTGTTTCTTTAAGTTAGAACGACAGTCAAATTTATGTATTAATAATACTCATCCAGACTATTAAATAGACTCATCCTCTCTTCAGTTGCCCTCTCGCTTCCACTTTGTATTGGTATCTGTGTTCAGCATAGTTAAGATGCTTCGGTATTTTATACCGTTGACCTGCTTCCTTCTGTCCCCTTTATAAAAAAAAAAAAATGAAAGAGTATCCAGTAAATTTATGTTTGGATATTTTGATCTGTTGGTTTTAGGGCTATACTAAATATCCGGGAGTTCATATTTTCTGCATGTAAAATGATTCAAGTTGGAAATGGAATGTAAAATTACGGTGTAATTTGTTAGGATTTTCTTTGGTTTTATGTCCTCTGATATTCAAAAGTAAATGGAGTATGATTTGTTATTTAATAACGTTGTTATATAGAAGTCCCTTTTTTTGTGTGTGTGTGCATATGCTTTCAATTTCTGAGTACATAATCCTTTGTTAATAGAAGATAAAATTCTTTATCAACCTCATTATCAATAGAAAAGATTTCAATGAAGTTGTGTGAAAACATGGTTTAATATCTACCTTATATACACAACTACATAATATATATTGTTGTACCTAATTAACTGTTGGCCTTATTAGTATGATTGTCCTTCAGAATATGTAAAATTGAACCCTAATGAAATGTAAATTACATGTGTTCACATAATTTCTCTTTTTGCTTTTGGGGTGAAGAATGGACAGAGTTGTACAAGAAATTACCTCATTCTGAAGATCTGTCATGGATGTGCCTTACCTGTTCTCTGGCTTGGCAAGGCGACCATCTACAATTATTTGTTTTTGGGGATTCTTCCTATGCATGATACTGAGTGGTGCGGGAACTGTATCAGCATCCACTTACTTAATCGGCCTTGGAAGCTATGACATAACAGGACCTGCTGCAGATGTTAATATGATGGGATATGCAAATCTGGAACAAATTACTTCTGGACTGCACTTCAGGTTGAGAGCTCGTACATTTATTGCGGCTGAACCTCGGGGAAAACGTGTAGTGTTTGTGAATCTTGATGCTTGCATGGCTTCTCAGCTGGTTACAACTAAAGTTCTTGAAAGACTGAAAGTGAGGTAGTTGCATTTCATTTTTCTTGTTATTCCGTGTATGGTTTTATGCATGTGTCACTGACAGAATAGAGGGTAAGTCCATAGTCAAAGATATACTCAATCTTTTTGATATTGTATACTAATTCAACCTCTGTGATGGTATTAGTTTGACATACCATATTGATTCACCTTCTGGAGCTGGTTCCATAGTTGCTATACAATCTTGGTTTTCTCTAGAATTCTAGTATACTAAAAAGTTTCTATTGTTTCTTTGTTAAAGGTATGGAGACCTGTACACGGAACAGAATGTTGCTATAAGTGGCACTCACACTCACGCTGGGCCTGGTGGCTATCTCCAATATGTAGTATATATTGTAACATCTCTGGGATTTGTACATCAATCATTTGATGTCATTGTTGATGGAATTGAGAAAAGTATTGTACAAGCCCACGAGAATCTTTGCCCAGGGTCAATATTTGTGAATAAAGGTGATGGAGCTGATTTATGTCACCTATGTTTGCTGCACTCAACTTAATGGGCCTGATTCCCTACAACATGGATACTTACCAAACCTTATTATATCCATGTCAGTTTTCAGTATGCAGACATGGCAAATTAATGTCATGATGTGTTTTTTCATGAATAAATCGTGACATTTAGTATGCTGGGATAGATTATAAAGATCATTCTAGGAGATTTTAGATTATTTCTCAATCAAAATTCTTTTAATAATTATATATTCTACCTTTTCTTCCCCAAGTTAAATCATGTGAAAACACATTTCTCAAAGCATTATATTGTGTTTATTTTTCCCTTAATCTTCCCTTCCCTAGACTTTAGTTCATTATATTTAGTTTCAATCCTTCTATTGAAATTAAAGGAAATAAATAGGAAAACCTTTTGGAATAATCTCTGTTACTAAATTCACCATATTCTACAAATCTGCATAGAATTTGCGAACTGCTAAGTTATTAACAAATTTTTTGTAACATAGCTTGATGTGCATACATGATTCTGATTTATCTCAAAGTTGAGATGTGGCATTTGTTGCCTAGTATTAGGGTAAAATCAATAGGATAGACACAAGAATATCTTCCACTATGCACAGTCCTTGGAACAAAAGGATTTGCGGAATAGTAAGATTAAAGTATGTCAGGTTTGGGGTAGCTCATGTCCAGAAAAATACTCACCTTTGTCTGTTAAAGTTTTTTCCCAGTTGTATACATGTTCAGGCCATCTATCCAATGGTTCAGTTTATTTTATCTAAAATCAAACCACAATTAGTCAATTTTTTATTTTTTATTTTTGTTATTCAACTCAAGTTAACTCTGGTTTTCCTTTTCCTGTGTATTATGCTAATGTTGATAGAATGACTCTTCCTAGATGGAACTTTATTTTTCTTTTACATGTCTATAACTACTAAGGGGTTTTTGGTTGGGGAGTTTGTTGGAGTTCAGCTGTTGGCTCCATTTCGTTTGTGGGCTTCAGAAGGGCTTTGCAGTGTTCAATGTATCGTGTGTCTGTATTGTGGGGGTCAAAATGGTAAATTTTTGAACTTTCTTGTAAGAAATAACCAATACATCTCATGTTCTGCAACCCAAAAGAAGCTTGCAAACAAAACTACATGGTGAAGCTGGGCTTTTTAATAACAAAAGGAGCCCGTGAACTGAGCAACCCACTTAATCTATTTCCCATAATTTAATCTTGACAAGGTACTGCTTCCTTTTTCTTGTCACAAATTTGCTTGTCTCTAATCCTAACTTTCCTAAATCGTCATCTTAGGACCCTAATTTATCTAGATTCATTGGTATGCATTGATTGTATAGTTTTTCTAAATCATTTTTCTACAGAGTTCATCCTACATTAGTCTAGGAGTGACTTTTGAGTTTCTCCCTCCTTAAGTATGCCTGAACCACAGTATCAAGAATGTTCATTTGTCAAGTATTTCTTCACTTCCACTTACTAATTTTTCATTTATTTGTACGTTGATTTGTACTAAAGTAACATTGAACATATTTGATTTTGGTTCTACTTATCTTAAAAGGCAAATATTTCTTTTAAACACATACGCACATTTGTTGCTCTGTTCTTGGCATGTCCATATCTAATTTCTTAAGAATCGTTATTATCTATGTATATTGATGTTATATCCTTCCCAGTCCCATCTCCATGCTTAAAAAGATAATTTTTAGTTTTGGACAAAATTGCTTATTCAGCTGAGTGATTTACTAACTGAGAATTTGTACCCAAGTGAACTGTAAACATTGTCAACTAGATTGTTTGAAATCCAGTGTTTGGATAACCTGATCCTTCCATGGGGTGGAAGTTATTTGATTCTTCAGTCTTAGTAGATTGAAAAAGATGACTTAATACTTCGAATGTAGGAAACTCCTAATTGTCCTTTTAACATTGGATGGAAATAATTCTGCACGTCTCATTATCTTTGCAATGTAAAAGTTATTCAGTTTAATGATTAATATCCTTGTTTTCTCTGGTTTACATTTTCGTCACTTGATTAAACATGCTGGTTTTACAAGGCAGAATAGGTCTTTGGGTTTTAATCTGATTCATCCTGCCGAGCAACAGGGTTACCTTTTTTTGTCATTGTTTATAATTTATTATGCTGCCATACTACTTGACAGATTTCTGAATTTTTGTGACTACTCGGTCATCCATCATGATTTTCGCAGGAGACCTCTTAGATGCTGGTGTAAACCGCAGTCCTAGTGCATATCTTAACAACCCAGCAGAAGAACGGAGTAAATACAAACACAATGTTGATACAGAAATGACTCTTCTGAAGTTTGTAGATGATGAGTGGGGTTCAATTGGCAGTTTCAATTGGTTTGCAACACATGGAACTTCTATGAGCCGTTCAAACTCATTGATTAGTGGTGACAACAAGGAGCTGCTGCACGGTTTATGGAAGATTGTATCAAAGAAATGCTTTTCAGAAGGATTCTGAGAACGTAGCTGCTGGGAAACCTGAGGCTGTCAGGATCCCTCGAAGAGTTTCCAGCATAATTCCCAGCCTTCATGAAAACCGTAAGTTGAAATTTTTTTTTGTCTGGCAGAGAATGTTTACAACTCTAAATTCATGCATTGGTTTTTATTAATAATTGTTGTGTCAAAGCCATTATCGTTAGGAAAGGCTGACATCCACAAAAGTGTGTGATCATTAACCATAACTAGGCTGCTTAGTTTACCAATAAACATGAAAATGAGATTATTTAGAACTAAAAAGCTGAATCATAGGTAACTAGGCATGCTTCCTGTCATGACCCAACCCGGGGCCCATGATCGGCACTAGAGTCCACGACCTAATCAGCCTAATACAAACGAACTCAAACCTAGAGATTTAAACAATCCATATATATATATATATATATATACATCATGCAGTCCAAAATACAAACAGGATCCTGTCTGAGGGATATAGGGAGCACTAGAATACAAAGATAGATAAACAAAAAGGCGTGCCAACATGATCGACTCGTGGAGCGCAATATGAAATCCTGCTGATGGGTACATGACGACCATGTCAATCTGAAAAAATAATAAGTGTGAGTCGCGAAACTCAGTGAGTAAGGATGATACCTAAACTATGCATGGTGGGATATGTATCACATATTCAGACCAAACATATACATACACACATATACATGGAGCAGTACCAACATCCAAATAACATGTGGGAGCACAATAAACCGCTATGAGACCCCAGCCTCATGGCTCTCACAATCGAGGCATCCTCCATCCATTATCGGAGACATCACAAATGTAACAGACGGCCATCTTCCGATCGGAGGAATCTCTGTCTCACGATTGGGTTCAACTCAATCACACGCCACGCTCATGATCGAGGCATCCTCCATCTCATGACTGAAGCAACCCAGCCTCATTGTTATGTTCCCTGTGTCATGGATCGAGTCACAGGGCGATGCACAAGAAAATCTGCTTCGAGGGATGCAGCCTTTCCTTGTTACGATTCTTGCTTCGTGAAGAACCTATGATTATATAATATATTATATGGAACTCGTTGAAGGAGCTCCTAACCTTAGACTCGTTAGAGAGAGCCTTAAACCTCTAAAAATTTTGATGGAATCACTTGTTTTATTCTCTTCTCATTGTTCTCTTAAATAAGATTACAAAGGAAATATTCTTGCAAATAGAAGAAAACTAAATTAAGGAATAAAATTAAGGACTTAAATTGCAATGAAAATACTTGCTAAATTAACTCCTCTAATTAGGAGTAAAATCATTATTTGTCTTCATTTTGCACCATAGACTTCCTTAATTTGTGATTCATGTTATCCATAACATTACTCTCCTCTGGAGAAAGAGCTTGTCCTCAAGCTGAAATTGAATATTTCCGTTCCTACACTTGTCAATGCCATCATGATCCTCTACCTCCAGCAAAATAATTTTTTACATTGTCCTAGATGAATATGGTTCATACAGTTGTAGCAGAGTCCCTTAGCTTTTGTTCCGCTATCTCTTCACGAGTCAACTTCTTGATAACGAAGTCTGCACTACTTAAACTCGAACGTCACCATCAATCTTGCTCAAAGCTACTTTTAAGAGTAGGAGAGGAAAATGTGGTTGCCTTTGGTGCAGTGTTCGAACTGTGTTTTGCCTAGGCCCTCCTCGCAGTCTGCCGCTCTTTCTAGTTGCTGCTTCTTCTCAAAAGCTTGTGCCAAACTTATTGCCTGAACAAGGTTTGCAGGTTTATGCATTTCCACTCAAGCCTAATTGAGTCCATTAAGCTTGCAGTAAACAAGTCTACTTGCTGATCCATTCGCACTGTACTAGCACGTGCCAACAACCTTTGAAATGGCTGATAATCCTCATGTTCAGTCTGCACAATTAACCAATTTACCTAATGGATTTCCGCGTAGTGGTGGGCCAAATCTCAAAGTGCAATATTCCTTGATGCCTTCCAAGTGAGATTTGGTTCCTCCTGATCTGATAACACATAATTGTGCCTCACCACATGTGAAAAGCCCAGACTAACCTTGTCTGTTTCATCAGTTCGATGAGAAGAAGAATTCTCGCATCGGTGAACCATATTAGTGGATCCTCTGACCCATCATAAGTCGGAAAATCAATTTTTGTGTACCTTGTACTACTCCAGACGTTGCTCGCAGTTGAAAATTAGTCTTTGTGTACTGTGGAGCTCCAAACTCTCCTTGCAGTTCTATTGATCATCAGTTTGTAATAGTGGTTTCCATAATTGTTATTATTACTCATACCCCCACTGACTCCTTGCCACTGTTTTGGTGAAGACCATTAGCAAGTGTCTGCATTTGCATGTTGCAGCTGGCTCAATTTAGACACGACTTGTGAATTCTGCTTCCATCGTGACTCACTTCTGCCACTCTTGCTTTGTTAATTGCCTGAACTTCTTGTAAAAGAGCCCAAAATCTTTTGCTGCATTGGAACGCCCATAGTGTTCGGCTCTGATACCAAGTTGTTATGTTCCGTGTCACGGATCGAGTCACAGGGCGATGCACAAGAAAATCTGCTTCAAGGGATGCAGCTTTCCCTTGTTACGATTCTTGCCCTCGTGAAGAACCTATGATTATATATATAAATATATATAGGAACTCGTTGAAGGGAGCTCCTAACCTTAGACTCGTTAGAGAGAGCCTAAACCTCTATAAATTTGATGGAAATTCACTTGTTTTATTCTCTTCTCATTGTTCTTTAAATAGAGATTACAAAGGAAATTTTCTTGCAAAAAGAAGAAAACTAAATTAAGAATAAAATTAAGGACTTAAATTGCAATGAAAATACTTGCTAAATTAACTCCTCTAATTAGGAATAAAATCATTATTTGTCTTCTTCCATTTGGCACCATTGACTTCCTTAATTTGTGATTCATGTTATCCATAACATTCATCACATAGCATAACTCCCCACATGTCAAGTCAAACACTCATATACATATGCATACATAACCATGTCACGAAAATTGATAATAGTATACTAACATAGCTCACCGTCAGTTTATAAAGCATATAACACATCCCAGAATAATATAAGCCAAAATACAGTAAGAATCAACAAGTTCATCATGCTAGAAAAAACATAGTATAAAATACATGCATAGAGAGGGTATCATCACTTACAGTACAGACGTTAAGTCAAAAAGAGAGTCTCGAGTCACTTCATTTGACTCAGTGGTCTAGGTGTGCCCCTGCCTATAAATCTGCAATCAAAATCATACAAAATCATCATCAATGCCGAAACCGACACAAGAAACAAGCTCGATAGCCAAAATCGGTCTAAAATCCCATCTCGACACTCTAGCATGTATCTCGAGGCATCAAAATCCACCACTGGAATCCACCCAACTCACTAACGCTTAACAACTCTACTTAACCACCCTCAGTCTTATGGAACCAGCCTCCACAACTGTCGAACTGCAGTGAACCGGCCTCCAAAACCCTCGAACCGCCTTAACCCGGTTCAAAACTACCTCTAACTCAACTCAGATGGCTACGAAAATCCTCAAAATCAGAATCAGAAGGCCCAAAAACCCTAGGAACCGGTCTGAACCAGCCAAAAAGGCCTTGAACTGGCCCTGAACCGGGCCAAAAACCCTAATCCTAAGCACTGGCCCACAAATCGAGCCTGGTTCACCTTGAACCGAACATCCAAAAATCCCCAAATTACATGTGTAGCTAGGTTTCATCATGTTGAATCAGGAACTGGTTCAACTCCTCCAAGAACCTGTCAAAAAATGGGTGAACCGCCTTTCGAAGGGAATCACACTAAACCGGCCGGTTCATCTCAAATCGGCTATCCAAATTTTCCCAAAACCATTTGGTCTAATAGTCTTCAACACAACAGACCACGAACTGGTTCAATTGCCCAAAGAAACGGCCTAAAAGGCCTTGAACCGGCTGGTCAAACCTGGCCGGTTCACTAGCCCAAAACCCTAACTCTTAATTTTTTTTATTAATTACTCTCAGTTTATTCTATTCCTGCTATCCGCAATCCATCCTTATCTTGGTTATCCTTATTCTCAGGGATAATATATTCCATCCCTCACTGAGTCAACTCGGATGGGTTGACTCACCTTTAACAACTCAGGGCCGAGTTGACTCGCCGAGTCAACTCAGCCCAGCCTTCTATGCCTGCACAGGTCTAGGCCAACCCGCGGCCCATACTGCGGGCCTTCTTCCCTCCCGCCTAGTCGGGCCTGGCCCAAGCCGGCCCGGCCCAGATAGGAAGACCCAGACCCTTCCAGGTCCTATCTCCTTCGCCTGATAACCTGAGTCTCAGACCCGGGTGCTGGAACCAACATCCGGCCGCCGGACCACACAGAAACTCGAAAAAAAAACTCACCTTAGTTCGGCGGTGCTCGAAAAACGAAGACCGAAGCTCGGCGAACTCCAAGAAGCTTCAAGATCGGATCAAACTTTGATTAACTGGCCGGAATTTCAGAACTCCTCTCACGAGCTCAGACGGACACCGGATTCTTCAAATCTCAATTTTTCTCCTCTCTCTCTCGCGATCCTCGAAATTAGCTGGAGGTCTAGGCTCGTTCGGCTAAATAGACAAAAAGCAAGAAAAATCTGAAGAAAAAGTTGAAATTGCCGGTGGATGTTAAACGGTGGGTCGGCGGCCAACTGGTTTGGTTTTTATTATTATTATTATATTATTATTGGGTCACAACACTTCCTCTAATGTATCCTTGCTGGGCAGCTACTTAAGCAACAATCTCTTCAACTACTCCCCTGCCCCTCAAAGGGCATGATAGCATCTGGAGGGCTAAATTGTCATGGCTTATCAACTAATCCCTCCAAGCACAATGATAGCCTATAAAGAGCCACTTGAAGAATTACTGCTAGCTTGAAAACACTAAAAGTTAAGTATTGAAAATTTTAAGCATTGAATTTTTAATAGTAAAATAGTTAAATGCTGAATTCTTAAAATCTAAAAATTAAGTTATATGTA